GAGTGAAAATTCTAATCTGACGAATCATTTGCAAGTTTAAAATTTCTCCCTCGTATTAGGTGGTAACGATGCTCTGCAGTGCTGCATTAGCATTTGTTATATGCTGTATGTGTATAATATATTCGCTGCAGCTTTTCTGGTCTAGAGAGTTCAGGGTTCCCATTATGCACAAGAACTAGCACTGGATTGTTTGGAAGTCGAAATACTGTTTTGAAAATTAACGGATTCCTGGATCATTCTATAAACCTAACACCTCGTCATATTCACGGCATTTGGGGTACTCTCCAATCGCGAGTAGAAGTCGGATTGATGTGATGGCGAGCAAGATCTTCCAGGGTCAACCGAAATGTATGGAGCATAAGGTCTCTGGGTCAATAAGCCTTGATTTGGAATGCTCACCCTCCTCTTAATCCCAACATTGTACTCCGTTCAGAGCTGCAGTGACGTTTTGAAGGCGTGTGTGTCCTATGCAATGGATTGCGGTGGCCAACCGATGTGCGAGTTCGCCCTTTTTTGTATTCCCAGATGAGCCTGGTATCAAACGGAAATTACTGAAGTAGTGAAGAAATAATTGGCCTAGAAATAGTGGGACACTAACACATCCATAGTCAAGCGCCCATATCCGGAATTCGGTCGATTGACTATGGATGTGTTAGTGTTTCACTTGCCACTGCACTATTGAACAAAAGTACACATGCAAAAGAAGAAGTGTCTGAGCATATCCAGAATTCCAAAACTTCAGTCAGCAATTCTCAGAAGTGTTCGAAAGATGCATTGAAGGTTTTCATCCCCTTCCAATTAGAAGTCGAACAGGTTCTCTAAGAAGTTCTCCAGTTTTGTATTATATGAAAATATTCCCGCGTCGTAATGAAAGTTTCTAATCTGAAAACTGGTTACGGTAGTTCTTAATTCGGGAATGACAATGGCCAGTCTCTGACTACTAACACAATGACTTTTATTCTCCCATATTTTGCGCATATGATTAAGGGACATTATGAGAACTGGTGCAAAGTTTGGTTTTGAACGTAGCTGTCGATAGGGGAGGGGGATAGCAGCCACCAAGGGTTGCACTACTGGCATCCAGCACACCTTCTTAAGAGTAGCGAATTATTACAGCTTACACCCTGAGTAGAATAAAATTTTAAGAACTTGAGTCAAATCACAAAAATCTTAAGTATTGCGGTGAAATCTGTTCGGACCAACCATAGGTGAAATCACTGCAGCGTAACCACTTACACAGATCCCTTGTCAATGTCGAGTGCACTCTTTACTGTTGAGTTCCATTTCTCATGAATATTTGGCGCTCCTCCCTACCAAAAGTTACGCGGCTGAGATATTAGCAGTCTTCAGCATGGAGTCATCAATACAATGTTGCAAGAAATGATCATGTGATAAATAATCAACATGTGATGCGGACCTGATTCCACTCTAAGCATATCAAGAAAACTAAGGAGATGTGGCTGAATAAATATCTCTTCGGTGAAATATCCTGGGAGTCACAAGCTTGGAAAAGAAAGTGTTCAAGCGCTCAAAATGTTCTTAGAAAGGTAGAGTCTACACTTGGTTGGGCATATTTAGTCGAAGCGCGTTTTATGTGCGAATTACGGCTGAATGGCTTGCTGCCAGATTTGTAATCGAAATAACAGCAGCAGCTGGAGATTTAGCAACACAAAGACGATATCTCGGGTTACAGCGAGGGGTGCGACAAAAAGCAGTTGAAGTGGCTTTAAATGAGATGAGAAACATTCGATGACGTTTGGAGCATACTCAGGGGTATGTGGGAACAATTGCACGGAAGATCATCTTCATATTTATTTATTTATTCATGCGTTTCATGACGCGCTGTATTGAGACATATGGCTGTTTGCGGAAACGATCACGCAGAGTCAAAGAGAAAAAAATAATAATATTAATAAACAAACAAACAAGATGTGATGGACACAAGTTGAAACAATGCTTCGTCATAAAACACAGGATTAACTAACGAATAATAGAAATTTATAGGTACCAACAGAGATAACCCTTTCCATGATGCAAAACTAAGCAGCGGAATGGTAAAAAATGACAACCCCATTGGCACGTATCCCCTAGAGGATAATGTGATCATGCCTTCATCGTTCTCATGTTCATCAAAAATTAATTTTGGGAATACAAAACGATCTGAATAATTATCGTATCCTCATAAAGTGCTGGTTGACAGCGGCAGTGAGGATTGCATTGAATATCGTAAAAACGAGTAAAAGTGTCGGCAGCTTTTTCTGGAAGCGCTTATATACCACATAATCTGCCAATATGGAACAAATTTTCTGGGCGAAATCCCAAGTGACAGAACGGAATACGACGTTAACGGACCGTAGAAGCAGGCTTATAACTACTGGAAGGGCAACGGGTAATAGCATGCAACGATTTAACCCTAATACGCGTAGATACAGTGATCTTAAGAGGGCGGGACTGAAACTGGAGTAATTCCTAAGTCTGGAATGTCACTTTTGACTCACATGAATTCCAATCTCTTTGTTATGCTCACCAACGCTCTCGACGGGACGTTTAACAACCACACATGCCCATTCCAAGTCATGCAAAGTCCTTTGCTGCCCATTTTGACTGCTCTGCTACCTGCTGTCAAATGCATGAAAGAGCGCTTGAGGAAAGTACAGTGAGACTATTGGGCTGTTGAGCTTCTTCGCTGCTATCTCTCATGTGACACAACAAAGCAGAAGGAAACACTCGAGAAGAGCCGCCATGGGGGAAGGTGTGCACAAGAAGGATGAATAACGTTAGCGGTGACTCCTATTTTTCATGGAAATTGGGAGAGGAAGGGTAGAGATCGTAAAGAAGGTCAAAATGCATAGGGAGCTGTTCTTCAAATGCGTTTTTACGTCGGAACGAATCTGCTAATCTAGTTTAGTCAACCCAGAAGCTAGAGATGTGCTTTTTCTGCTCAACAAAAGACTGCTATTATACTAGAGTTCATTTACGTGGCAGGTTAATAACGACCCTTATGAGTCCTCTTATATCATTTTCAAAGCCTTCCAGCCTCTCATCGCTTCCAGAACAAGCATGTACCAACAAAAACCTTTCATCTTCTTCTGCTCCTTAGTATTATGTTGTCCGGAAAGTTTCTGCCTTTTTCGAACACACTCGGTTCATCAACTATTGAACAAAAGATCAGAGTCTTGGCCCTATAAAGTTATATATTTTTTGAAAAGGTAGGTCCTTTCCCATCTTCTCGTTTGGATTTTGGTAGCATTTTTTGGTAGCGTCGAAGTATTCCTGTACAGGAGTCATGTGAAAACTGAGAGCCATCGCCTGCACTTTCGGCATCTGATGTTTTTCTACTACCTCGAAGGCAAGAACTTGGCTCAAGCTCGAGAAAGAATTGTGACATTTAATAGACAATGCTGTAGGGGAACCTGCTACCTGTCATCCCACTGATCGTCGATTTCCTCAAGCGGGCGCAAGTAACGTCTCATTCGTCCGTGTTGCGGGCCGAAGTAGTCCAGTGAACCGCACTCGCTCGAGGGATTCGGGGCCCAGCATTCCTTTTGTTCAGAGCTTTCGTAAAAAGTCCGAACAACTCGTTGGCTTCCGTACTGGAGTTCGCTGACGTCCGAGGGATCCAGTCCGTAACCGCCCTGATCAAACGGTCATCATTTTATGCATGACTTGCCCGGCCCATCTGATTTTGATTTTCGATTTCCTGGCGTACTCATCGGCATCCCTGATCTACGTTTATAGACGGAACTCGGAACTCCGGATTCCTTTCTTGTTTGTATTGCGGAATTCCGAGCATCGTCCTTCCAACAGCGCGTTGAATGACGCTAACTGCATGCTCATCCTGCTTCCGTAAAATTCAAGTCTCTGGTTGTGAGGCGTATGGCGGAGCAGGAAGAACTGCAGTATCGAAACGGTCAGCGCGGAGCCGGATGTTCTTCGCCTTCTTCACTACTCTCTCGATGTTCTTAAAGCTCCCCACTCGTTTCCGTCTACTCAGCTCCGGGGCTAGGTCGTCCATCATGTTGACTTCCCGACCTAGATACCCATAGCTGAGCATTCAGAGATATTCCTTCCGTTCAGCATGAAAGAAGCATCAGTTACCAATCCGTTTCGCATGAACATGGTCTTCGCTAGCTTCCGATCTTTCCATAAGCGTTGTCGAATTTGGCTGGCATTTGTTCTACCTGCTCGATGTTGGATGTTATAAGCACGATGTCATATGCAAAGCAGAGGTGATGTAATCAGCGGCCTTCGACCTGCACTCCCGAATATTTCCATCCCAAATGACGCATGATATTCTCGATAGCGGCACTGAAAAGTTTGGGAGAGATGTATCGCCCTGCCGAACCTCTCTTCACGTTGATAATGACCTCTTAATAGAATGGCGAGATCCCGGTCGTGAAGTTGTAGAACTCTTGAAGATCCTTACATATTGAGTAGAAACACTTTGGTTGTCAGTGCCGTCCAGATCTCCCTTCTTATGCAGCAACACGGTCTTACCAGTTTTCTACGAAGTGGGCACTTTGCATTCTGGCAGGTACAGCGTGAAAAGCAGGGCCAGGGTTATGACATTGACTGGCGGAGGGCTCTTCAGATGTTCTGCTTTGATCCTGTCGGGATCGGGTGCCGTACCATCCCTCATCGACGTGATGGTGTGTCAAAATCCGGAAGGGAGAACTGAAGGAACTACCTGTCCTGCCTAAGATCGTAGGTAGCCAGGTGTCGAATGGATCAGAGTGGAAGTCATATATGAACTTCTCCCCTGCCCTTCGGGATTCAGTAACAATTCCATCAGGACAAGAATGCATGTCAGCTTGAACTCATAACTGACGAAGCTCCGACGGGCTTTGCAAACTCTCGTCCCAGCCTTGGCGGCTTGAGTCAAAACTGCTGCCCTTCTCCCTTTCAGATCTTCCTTTACCGCTTCTCCTCAACTTCGGACGTTAGCTTGTTATTGCTTGCAGCTTGCGCGATTGCACGCTAGCGTATCAGCTCAAGAATCTTCAAAGAGACGTGTTTCTTGACATGAGACTCTCGGCTTTCCTGGCGCAATCGTGAAGACGTTCGATGAGCCGGTCGTATTCTTCATCGATGTTGTCGCTGACGGAATCTCCCCACAAACTCGCTAATGAAGCGAACTGATAGAAATTGATAACAGTCTTGGAGCTTCGTTTTCTGAACTTCACAACTCTCTCTAAATGCACTGAAAGGCGGAATCTAGCGCGGAGGAGACGATGGTCTGATACCGTGTAGAACTTAGGAACAACAACGACGTCAGTAAGGCAAAGCCTCCGATTGACGATGATGTGAACTATTTCAATGTAGAGCTCTCCACCAAGTGACTCCCATGTCCTTTGGGAATGAGAGGGCTTCTGGAAATACGACTTACCATGGATAGTGTGGGTCGACATGATAAACTCGGACAGCCTTTCACCCTGTTCATTCCATTCCATTATGTGAGTCCCTGTTAGGAGCTCTTCAGCCATTCTGCTAGGGCCAATTTNAGCGTTGAAATCACCGACGATAATCTTGAAGAAACCTCTCCAGAAGCACATTGGCCTTCTCTAAAGAGCCTTCTCAAGTCCATGTGAAGGTTTACAGCCCGCCTCTCTGTAGTTTGTGTAGGTGCGTAGGAAGCGAAGACCGTTAGAGCTGGGTTGAGCCAATCTTTTAAACGCAAACGTACGATTCGGATTGTCATCTTTGTACGAACCGATGTTCATGGCAAAGTGCGTGTTGACGAAGACACATGCACAGCCGACGCCTCTGCTTTCGCACATTTCAAGGAACAGCTCTTCTTCAGCCTCAAATACCGTGTGCAGCACGTGGTGCCTTTTCAATTCCCTCCAAGACGCTTTTGGCTACTATTCTTAGTAATTTGATGTTGGTGCGTACACAACGGCGATTGCCCGAGCCAGACCGGCCACATCTTCACGTTCACCGCAGACGGTTCTGCTGCCGCATGTTTCAGCGAACAGCATTTGTACAGTCCTGAAAACAACGTGCAGTGGGCAACGCTTCCTCGGCTCGACCAGTCCGATGACGTCGAACTTGATATTCGAGGCTTGCATCATTATCTTCGATGCACGCTTCCGATGCAAGTGCTCGTGTGTTGGAAGTACTACTTCCCATCTTGGTCCTTCTCTTTTTGGGGGCCTATTTGACCTAATTTGCCTCCCCCCCCCCTTCCCCCTC